GCGTGAGCCAGGCTGAGGCCCAGGCTGCTGCGGTCCGGGCGGGCTGCGGCACGGCGGCGGAGAGAGAGTGAGCGACTCTCCAAGTCGTAAGGATCCCGGTGTCGTCGCGGTCCTCCCTGGTAGGTAAACTTGCTCACGCCAGGTCTGCCGGAGCTGTAGTGCCGGCAGAGACCGGTGCTGTCAGCTGCATGATCTGCCAACGCCCTTGCAGAAAACAGAGAGCAAGGGAGTAGCTGCAGTTACAGCGGCATGTCTAAACTAGCGGTCGTTTGGTTTGTTTTTTTAACAGTAATTGAGCTGTGTTAGCTAACTGGATTTTAAGGTGCTAAATTGTTGATCTGTTTGGCCTTTCATATGTTATAGGGTTTGTGGTTCCCCCTCCCTGCCCCCCAAGACCCAAGTTCATGGAAAAAGCAATATTCCTACCTACAAGAATGGTACTTTCATCCTGTACCATCATTTATTAATACTGAGGCCGGTTTCAGTTGTTCCCCATGTATCAGTACCATCCAGACTAATGTCAAGGCTCATCCCACAGGGTAGCAGTGATTGATTGAACAGAGCGACTGTGGATCCTTCCGGGCAGGGTAAGTCTCCGTGGGCTGCAGAGTAAGTAACAAACCGTGCATCTCTACCGAGGAGAACTTAAAACCCGGGCTGAGCCTCCGCGGTTTCCTCACGCTGGCTGAGGAGGCGTTTGTGCAGGCCGGGGCAGTGCCGTGTCCTGGAGCTGCACGTGGCTTGAAGCAGCGATTTTCAATGGTGACCCAAGAGCTAAACGCCCCGCTGCCACTGCTGCTTGTTGTCCGTTCCGTTAATACACTTCTCTCAGCAAAACTACTCATCACTCCCTTTGCTTTTCTGACTGCCAGTAAAGTCAGCGGTTCCCTAGTCACCTGCCAAAACCTTTGGCTGTCTCTGTGAGAGCCGGGCTTTTTTCCAGTACAAAACCTGGAAGCAAGCTAAGAAGTCAGCGCAGCGCAACACCGAAACTTCACGTTACACAACAGGAGGAGATCCCTCTTCTCGTGTTTTCTTAGTTACTTTAAAATAGATTGAAAGCTGCCACAGAAGCCTCTCTCCCCACCAGCACGCAGGCTACCTGTGGAAATTGGGTTACACGTCCTCTGGGCTGTGCAGGACCTTGAATGAGGGATCGCCCTTGCTGTCCCCTCCTGCATGTCTTAGTCGGCTTTTGTGCAGTAGGGGACAAGAAGAAATACCCAAAGTAGGTCACTGGACACTGCGATACAAAGGCTGTCACCATGGGCTGATCGATGAGCCCACTAACAGTTGCGTTACGGCGGCTTTCCCAGCATGAAGAACGAAAGCCCGGCTCTGAGCTGGGGTGACCAGCGTGCCCGTCCCCCATGCTGCCCTGCACCGCCTGACATCCATCCCCTTCTTCCCCTCCGGGCAGATGGTGGTCCTCAACCACAGCAAGAGATGACTTTAAAACCGGCCCCTTCAGCTGCGGCTCCTGCCCCTAATTTTCTTTTAAGCAAGGATTGGAAATGCATTTCCAAGTAGCTCTTCTCCCCCTAAACCTGTGTAAGTTGGGCAGCACGGCAGGCCTGTCCAGGCAGTCACAGTCCAAGCCCAGGAACTGTCCTCGACAGCGTCTGATCCACGGCTGGACGTCTCTTGTGCAGCCATCAGCCTGACGCTCACAGCCCCCCTGGTTCCTGGAGCCAGCCGCGGAGGCGTGTGTATTGCCACCGTTACTTGGACATAAGGTCACTGAAGAGAATCTTTACCTGTGGCGCTCCCCCCCCCCCCCCCCCCCGCCTGAGGGCACACCTTT